GAAAACACAACAGTCTCAACACCACTATGAAGATAGCAAAGCAATTTCGATAAACAGCCAATGCGGTCATGCACTAATCCACCCACCAAGTTCAACAGTTCAGCTTGCAATACGTGCACAACAACAACAAAAAACAAATAGCCACCCCAATCAATGCGCAGTGTTGTTAACACAATTGGCAGGCAAGCGAAGGTGGTGAGCATTTTGTGGTTCTTTCAAGAAGCAAAATGACTGCTTTCCTCACTCTTCTCGTCTCACATCGCACACGTGAGGAGAAGGAAGCGCTAAGGGCGTGAAACATTCCTCACTTGACCAATTTCCACACCGAAATTAGATCCTAGACTATGCTTCTGTGCGCCAATCGGGGCGAAACACCAGATGGGGTTTCGTTGCTTGTCCGTAGCAGAGCCTCCTACAAGTCGCGCATTGATGGCGAAATGAGGCGTTGATGAAACAACTCGTGCAATGCTTTGCCAAAACATTGTATTTGCCATCCCCGCATGACCTAATAGCACATTCGTTGTGCATTCTAGTGAGGTCATGGAAAGGCGTCTTCACGACTCACTAGGCAAATGGAGCAGTCGTGGATGCCGTGACATCAGCCACATGGGCGGCGCTGCTGGGTCACTTACTTGTGGGAGCATCTGTTTACATACAGGTGTGCTAGTCACCATAAGCGTTGCCTTGGCAGCTTAAAGACTGGAGAATGGGCAGGATGGTTGTTATTTGTACGCTATGCGTAAACCGATTCGGTGAAGTAGTTTCGTGGCGCTTCCTCCTTGGATAGAGGGCGGAGGGTTAGAAGGAGGAGGAGGAGGGAAGATTTTAATGCTGCCGATTGTCCGAGTGTCAGTTGTTGCTGTTTCGCTACAAAATTTCATTATGTGTCTGGTGGTTGATGGTGCACATGTTGCAAGTTGTTTAAGGAAAAACGCATGCTGTTGAACTGTGGGTAGAGTCTGTGCATTATCTGCCTAAATATAGACCGAAGTGGAGACCGCTAGGGCGGAAGAAAATGCAACCATAAGCAGCACTGACGCCTTCAGCCAAAGCAAGCGCGGTCATCGCAATGGTTGTGCTTATGATTCAATTCTTCCTCCCCGTTGACGGGTGGCATCGATCAGCAGTCGCACGTGCTGCGCGCAGTGCGCCGCGTGGTCTGTTGTGCTGTAGCACAGACAAGGCGCACAGACGAGGAGGTCAGTCGGCGGCGTTGTGGCTCATTGGAAGGCATCTCCTTGTCTATGGGATTCGCTAAGACCGGGGCTTTGGACAATCGTCTTCGGGTTGGCAATGTGCAATGACTTGTGAGCAAAGGATCATGTAGACGCCTATATTGCGCCTCGGTTATCGATGGAACAGGGTTGCATGTTATCGTACCGTGAAGACAGAGAGGTAAGAAGAGATATAGATAGAGGGAGAGAGGGAGAGGAGCCACAATTGGCAGCCTGACGAGTACGGACGGCGATGAGGACACGCCGCTTTGGGATTGACATGACTGCAACTCGCCACATGCGTGACTCACACAACGGTCCTACCTTTGGTGACAAGATGGAACCGGTGTTGACGAGCATCAACATTTCTAACGACGCTCAACTGCCCACACCTCTTGCGGCTTTATGCAGACTTCCCAAAACCAGCAGTGAATAGGGCAACTGTTAGTAGGCATTGCTCGCCTTTTCTCCCAACTACGCACTGTGGACATTTTGATGTCTTCCTATGTCGCGTACCTCACGCTGAGGACAAGAAAGCAGAAGGAATAAACAACCTCGTTTATGGCCACGCTCCAGCGGTGTT